GTGTATGTCCTTGCGGTTAAACGAGAAGAAAAACATCTGTTTATTCTTTTCTGCTCTCTTCCTTCTATACTCGCCAAATGTGCGGCAATGTATGCACAGGATATATTTTGTGCGAATCTCCATTTTCATTAGTTCTCTAATGTTTATCGTCTGTTCTGCACTTTTCTGAAGAAGTTGTTGATAGTTCTACTTTTTCGATCTTGATACTTTGAAGAGTTTGTCACAGTAATTAGATTATTGACCTTATTGTAGGATGTTTTGTGCGGTTTTCACTGCGGTAAAATATGATGCAAGTAATTTCAGGTTTAGTTAGAGTTTGAGCTCAAAATAAGTCTACAGCCATTTTATTCACATTTTTTTCGTGTGGGCGGTTGAAATTTTTGGAGGGCTGTTGGCTAAAATATTTTAGCTAAAACGAAATCAGCTATTTATTTTCGGCTGTGCACCGCCCATTCGGCTCACCCACTAAATAAATCACTGAGACCTACATGTTATTCACTAAAGAATGTGTACTTTCTCTCTTCTAACATGTTCTGCCACATGAGAATAATGTGACTAATAGTCGATACCTTTATATTAGAGGTGAATCGAATAAGTAGCGAATTTTTCAAAATGTGCGATTCTCTTTCTTTTTCTTATCCTTATTTTTTTCAATATAAACTAGTTGAAGACGAAAAAAGTGAAAAAATAAACTAAAAACAGAGAAAGGTGATTATACAGAAGTATAATACAAAAACTAAAATAATTTGGATGATAAGTTATTCAGAATAAGTGCACATCTTAAAAGAGCGAGTTATAATGAGACTTGACTCCATCATGTGTTTGAAGAAAAGTCCGAATAAAACATGATGTAATCAGGCCAGAGAAGATGCTTGCAAAATGCGACAGAGAAATATGTGAATGTCTTTTTTGCACAAAGTCTGTATATTTCGGATATATATATATACATTTGATACTTTTATATTTTGTTATATAGCCCAACCTATACACACAAACGACATGTGATATGAAAGCGAAAAACCCATTTGTGTTTCTCAGTGAAGCCCGCGCATCATATATAAAAGTGATATGAAGACTTGAATAATAATTCAATAGTAGTACATAACAACCGAGAGCGTGTAGAAACTTAATACTAACTATTTTACCTTATATAACTACTGCTATCGTTCTCATAAAATAAAATTGTTTTGCAGTCATTTGAGTTCAGTGTCTGAATGAGCATGAGGTAAATTGTTTCGCTTGATCATGTTCCTGAAGAGAAAACCGGGTAAAACAGCGGCTCAGCTGCCTGAAGAAAACTTCAAAGTTTTTGTGACTCTGGAAACTGTGCTTTCCAGTATCCTTCGATCCAAGAAGTTGATACCCTGCTGCAAGATTCTTGCACAAGAAATGGGGTATTTTCTATATCAAAACTTTACTACATCGTGTTCTCGAAGAAAAGTCCGAGTAAAACATGATGTCACTAGGATGGAGAAGAGGATTACAAAATGAGAGAGAGATTATACATGATTTTCTTATGGCGAACGTCTGAGATAAGCGCGTATTTTTAATTAATCGTTATGTAAAGAAAATTGGCTAAGAAAACCACTGTCTTTCATGTTTGGCGCCGTTTCTGTAGTGCATGCGCACTAATTTTTAATTATCAGAAAAGGCGCCTTTTTTGGTCTATTTCGCGCTTAGTCTATGCGCTGGAGCATGCTGAATTTAGTTTTAATATTTTCAGCTCAAAAAATGCTGTGAATTCAATAAATGTCCTTATTTTCTGTTCGGTTATTCCTGTCCAACTAATGGCGCTATTGCTTTCTTCAGAGCCAATCAGAAAGCAACTAGGAGACATGCGGAAAAATTTTGGTAAAGAATAGAGGAGCTATGATCGAAATTAAATGGCATTTGGGTTTTATGAAACTTTCGCGAACGCTAGTTTATTTTACTGGAATTTTAATGGTATATATGGGTCCCTTGTACGTTGTGCGGTTCAAAAATTGTTTTTTTTCATATGTGGAATGCACTAATTATTCATCTTCAAATTAAAAGTAATCTGAACTCGGAACGTTAATTTTAGCAAAGTTCTATGAGTTCTGCTGAATGTGTCCCAACAGTGATTTTTCAGAAAAGTTAAAAAATAAAATTTTTTCTTGTGGCGTAAATTCTAATGTTTAAAAAATTTAAATTTGCAGCTCAAAGACACAGCTTTTTAAGAGCTACAAGATAAAACATGTACGTCATCCCGAGTGAAGAAAAAAATTGAGCTTCTAATCTATGTACTGTCATATTGCCTGGAAATTTAAAATGACTATATTTTAGGCAATTCTTCATCTGTAAGGTGGATTCAAACGGGAAACAGTTCTTTATAGATCAATTATATATTCTAGATACAAAAAAAAAAGAGCGCGGGTGATTTTCCAGGCTACAAGGAACCAACAGTAACATGTGTAAGGAACAACTATTAATAAAATAGTAATAACAGTAGCTGCTCAAAAAGACATTTGACCTCATGCACAGTGGGCATTTTTTGCTAGAGCAGGCGAACTTTAGCTTTATGAGTGAACTAAAATTTCATGAACCATTTTTTTATAGGTTTTTCATGATCCTCTTTCTAATGGCATGAGAGTTAGGTTTTGAAAAAGTTTTCTAAGGAGTTTTCCAGAGATCCGGTCTCTGGAAAACCCTTCAGAAAACTTTCTCTATATCTAAAAACGATGCCACTGAAAAGAGCATTGTCGAAAACCTATAAGAAACATGTTTTCAGTCGTTCAAGTTACTTTATCTTGAAATTCAAATTTTCAGCACGAAATTCTTTGTGAATCTCAAAAACTAAGAAATTTCTAGAATTCAAAACCGAGCGATCGAAACTAGATGAGTTATACACCATTCGGTGCAGTTTTCGACCCTGATCCAGCTTCCGAATATGATCTTACTTTCAAGAAAAAGTGCTTTTTTGAGGTAGAAAACTGCGAAATACTCCAAAATTCCCAGAGTTTTTGGAAAGCCTGTAACTCAGCACCTCTGCAGTTGGGAGACTTTGTGAGATCAGTATATGTAGAGGAGGTTGAGACGAACATTTTGAGCTATTTTTCATATCAGTAGCTGCTCAGCGGAGTTTAGCGATTGCATTTTTATGAGGACGTCTTTTTTTTAGATGAGTTCCGTGGAAAGATCTTCGCGCGTACCCCGAAATTTAACTTTAACCGACGAAAATTTTCTTACAGCTAGATAGCCCAACAGATGGCGATTCTATATATGTCATTGTTTTTGAAAAAAACTTATAATTTGACGGAGAAAATGCAATTTTACGCGCCAGCATACTAATTCTACTGATTTAATTTTCATAGTAAATGGTTGAGTAGTATTTGTTGTTGCAAAATTTTGCCGTTGTGGCAATGCATTTCGCGGTATATTATTTGCAGTTGTAGTTGCAGCTAAATTGAAGTCTAATGGAACATTAGGTACATTCGGTGAAGGATCACGTAATTGTGGAGGTATGAAATCGTTTAATCTTAACTGCCTTGGAGTACGTCGTCCCGATTGACTTCTTCCACTCTACTTCTTTGACCAATTGAACGACTTCTTGATCGATTTTGATTTTGATTTTGATTTTGATTATTTGTAAGGGTGGTCTATTAACAATACCATAGTCACCGTTATCATAACCATAACCATTATTATTGAAATTATTATTAAAATAAGGTCGTTGACATGATAGTCTCCATGATAGTCCTCGTCGTTGTTTGATAGTCCCCATTTTGATAATCATATTAATAGTCCATCGACATTGTATTGATTGCCCCCATAAACACCACCACATCCTGACTGTAATTGTGATGGTGTTGGTTGTTGTTGTTGTTGTTGTTGTAGTGGCATTTGATTATTATTGTTATTATTCATTGTTGACATACTATATATCGTTAAATAAGTTGAGAATTTATTGGATCAAATTACAATAAAATAAATCAAAATGATTTGATGCCGGAGATAATATTAAGCGTAAATCAATCGAAAACAGATCAAATCTACCTCTTAACGAAAAGACAAATTCAATCTGCTATTCCCAACTCTTGATTTTCAGCAATCGATGATTACATGGCATCATCCGGAAATCGCCGTCGCCGCGGATTCTTATATGTTAAAGTGTAAAAGGATAAACGTGCATAACTGAGGGTGAAGTAGTGAGGATAAGGGTGGAGCGCTTCTTCACCCACTCCACTCTCACCCTCACTCGCCGCGAGTTCGTATATGTTAAAGTGTTAACACTTTAACACTGAATCCGCGGCGACGTCAACACGTTTGCCAGAAATACTCTGTTTACATCTGATAAGCGCAGCGCGGTCAACCTCAACAAATCTATCATCAGCAAGGAGTAGTAGGAAGGAAATGTCACATGGTCTATTTCCAGATCTATTAAATATGGATCAATTTCCACCATTATCAAAATTAGTGCCACGGTAGAGGAAAACAACAATGAAGTAAGATAGCGTGCTGTCCAGTAGAAGAAAAGGAAGAGAATTCATCATTTCTTACTTCTAGTTCAATGACGAAACTAAAATAACAGCAATGGCGTTATCGTCTATCATCAGTCATTATTTGTCTTGGCGGATTTCCTGAATCTGATTATTTTGTTTATCGTCGAAAATTGATGTCGGATAGTCCAACAACAACAGATAGAAATTCTTGGCTAAAGGTCGCTGATACTGATATACGTGAATGTACATCGAGGAAGTCTTTTTTTCAAATGTTTATATGTTATTTTAAGAAAGAATAAGAGAGACAGTGTCGTAGCATTTTCCTTAGTTACCGTGGATAAAATCGCGTAATTCTGAGTAGTAACGATGTTTACTTTGTGTACTATTCCCTAATCATAATATCTGCTATTTTTCTGAGATAATCACTAGGTTTTCGATGAGTTTTCCAGAAACCTTTTCCGAAAAAAACGTTTTTTTTCTTGCAGTTAGCCTTTTTTCATACAGAGAGAGAAATGCGAGTGAGAATAAATAGTTTTATTTCCACAAATAAACATTTTTACTAGTATGAAATAATAAAATAATAATACGAAAAGAAGACAAACAAGAAAAAAAATTATTTTACACACGAAAAACAGCAATAAAACTTTGTAGAGTAAAAACAATGTCCGGTGTTTTGTGATATTCATAATTCTGGACATCTGATGGATGCCGACATCGGACTATTTGTTTGACCAACGGCGGCCACACGGAAGTCTCGGTAGTTTTTGTTGTTTGATTTCTTTTTTTTCTTAGACCGAAGATCAATAAATATAAGTCATGATAAATATCACGTCTGCATTGTATGTCGTCGTCCAGATCAAGCGGATTTTTCTATTGTTGTGATGCTGTTGTCGTTGGTGGAGGTGGTGTAGGATATGATTCATCAATCATATTCGTCACTGAGATCTCGATCGTCATTGTTCTCATTTTCTTCGTCGGAATCGGAGTCATTTTCGGCGTGATTTTGATTTTGATCAACGGACGGTTGAACAATATCTGCCGGCTTCAGAATACTTATTAACGGCGGGGGCATGATCACGTTTTCTCGATCGAACGCACGACATAAAGCGTTATAACAGATAAAGAAATTATTCATTTTGTCTGAAGCGAAAAAGACAAGGATTGAAAAAACCGTTTCCAACAGCAGATTTTGTTCTTCAACAGTGTTCGAATGCTTTTACTTCACATTCATCTTTTATCAGCTCATAGAGAAAGAAATAGAGCAAAATATACTGTTTTATTTTTTGAAAAATGATGAGGTATAACAAACTACTGTTATGAAACAACTTAGAGAAAAAAATATATATACAAACAAATGTTTACTGGAAAAAATACTTGATATTCACAAAAAAAAGACATGATATAAAATTATTTAATAAAAGAAATAGAAAAAAAACTAATATGCACCGGGCAAGTACGAGTCGTCCAACTGTTCATCATCGTCTTGTTCCTTTTCTTCTTGTTGTTTTCGTTCTTCTTCGGTCATTTTCGCTCGCACGTCTGCTTTGCGTTTCTTTTTGTGTTCGTAATAAACACGAAGTTTATCACATCTTTCCATTGCCACCCTGGTATGATAGCCACCCCCACCACCTAAATAGAAAAGAAGCATTGTCTCTATTTTTCATTTCTTTTTATTTCATACCTGTCAGCGGTTCGACCACTGGAATAATTGATTGATCACCATCGTTGTACACGAGGACGGCGAGAGCCACACATACGTCAACGATTGAGCCGGGAGAATATCGATTTTTTGGCGCAAAACTCCATAAAATGGAATGAAAACTTTCATTCGCATTTTGAGAGCTCCCATTGAGCACTCTTTTTAGAGTATCACCTATGTAAAAAAAAGTTTAGTTTGATAAAACTTTTAAAAAATGAACTTACGACTATCTAATTCAGTGAATACTGGACGGATGGCATTCATCACAGCCAATGGAAGAGTGTGTCTCGTGTGATCATATTCTTTATCTAAACACAAAAAATTTATAAGAAACAAAATTTTTCCTTCTAGTCGTAATACCTTCTTCCAATGCTTTCATAAATCCACAAAACATCGGTGAGCACCACCCATGATGCGGTTCTAAATCAGTCGATGCCTATAATAAAAAAAAGATGTAGTTTATGCTACACATTCTGTCTAACTTACTTTATGTTTCCATATAGCCCAAACTGATTTTACTATTTCGTCGAGATTTGTTTTATTTCGTACGATTGCTTGACGATAATAATATTTAAAATTGATCATCATATCTAGGAGAGGAGAAGCCGATTTTCGCAAGCCAATCAAAACCGGTTTATACTAACTTTTCGTCATCCTTCCTTGACCTCCAATCCCCATTTTCCCATCAATCTTAATTTTCTTCAAATCTTGTGCAATTTTTTGTAGACGATGTAACATTTTCTTCGAAAAATGGTTGATGTCTTCAATCTTGTTGATTTTTATGTTGTCGTACGGAGGATTACTGAGTAATTTTGGAAGAATTTTAGCATCGCCATCACCGATGTAACTAAAATGAATAATAATTAACAGAAAAACGATCAGTTTTCGCTTGCAGATGCTTACTTGACATATTGAACATTATATAGACGTTGGGAACGTTCAAATAGGCGATAGATTCCGTCCACCTCCATTGCACCTAAAAAATCCAAAAAATAAGCGAAACAAATGTGAAAGAATGCAACACTTACCAGATGATCCTATGTGGTTCATTTCACAACTATGTTTGTTAATAATTTCTTCATACTTTTCTCTGTTCACATGTTTAATACTGAGGGCACCGATACACGTCGAACACTTCTTCGACATTCGTTCAATATCCAACACCTAAAGATACAAAAAGTCAAAGGGGAGGTACTATTTTTTATACCTTACTTTGGCGGTTGTTGAGCTGGACATGACTGCGGCTACGCCATTCAAACTTGAAAATCCACGACGCTGCCAGCTCCCATCTCCACTTACACTCAACTGTCGACCGTCTGATTGAGTACAAGCTTCTTCAACGGCTGTCGACATAGAGTTTTGTTGATGAGCTCGAAGACTAGGCAGGACATGAGCGACGGTGTGTGAATAATGGTCGTCATCGATGGGAGGTGGTACGTTTAAAATTCCAAATAATTTTGCCAGACCTTGGTCGCCGATACCAGCGAGATTGGCTCCTAAATAAAGGAAAGTTTTCGATCATTGTCATTAGCAACAAAACCACCTACCAATTACACATCGAATATTCACATCTCGCATTTGTGTTTGTGGATAACGTTTCGACGTACCAATTCTGATCATATGGCCACATTTACACGTAAATACGAGACCCAAGCAAATATCACCTATGGGAAAAATCTAGATACATTTCGTCTGTAATCGGGCGATACACGACTAGTTGCCATCTAGATTACTAGTTGGAAAAGGGACTTTTAACTAGATGCGTCTGCAGGTGCATCTAGTAATAGTTAAATCGATCGATTATCGGACGATAAATCGATAGTTGCAACTAGAAAAAATCTAATAATCGCCTAGTTACTAGATTTCCACTGTCGTTACACACTAGTTGCAATCGAGTAAAAATCTAGTAATCTAGATGAATCGGGCGATACTAGATTTTTTTTTGACGCTTGGGGAGAACAATATAAACCTACAGCATACACCAAATATTCACTTAACGTCAAAAGAAACAAAAGAATTTTACCTTCTCTCTTTGCTGTCGACAAATCACCATTCTATTTTGATTCACATCCATCACATACTGTTTGTTGCATCAATTCGATCAAAAGAGAGTTGTGAATAACTTGATAATGATCGTTGACATTCTTCGCGGTGTCGGCAGTCATTTTTGATGCGTATGACGATAGTTTTTGGCACGACGGACCCGTAAACGCACGTTTTCTGTATGAATAAACATTGTAAGGTGTGTGACGTGGGGTATCGACAGGTGATTCGGATATTCCTCTTTTGGGTGTGTTAGTGACGTTAAGAAGACGACTTTCTCTCGGGGTGACGGATGGAGATTTCGGATTAGAGACGGAGGATGAAGGCGGAATGATATTTTCTTTATTTTCATGACGTTTTACAAGATTTTGTGTAGCTGCATGCCGTTTCTTTTTTGTGGACGAAGGTGTTGGGGACATATCTGAAAAAAATAGCATGTTCAGTAAGAAAGATGAAAGCAGTCGTTATTTTGTACCAAATACGAGCTAGATTCGCATAATCTACATTTTAGCTATCGAAAAAAAGATGATTCATCAATTTCCATTACTATGCTGGTAGTGGTCAAATACCCTCTATGACAGTAAAAGAAAGAGCTTTCTTTTTGCTTCATATATATGTATCACACTCCTATATTGAACCTTAGATCTGCTGTCACTATGCTCCTCAATCTTGTTTAACGTTTTTCTCAGAACATGGTTTTAGCGGCACAAAATTGTATCCCCTCATAGACAAGTAATCGTGCAACCTTCGTTCTTGTTTTGTTTTGAAGTTAAGACATTTATCTAAATTTTGTCCGTAGCGATTTTTGATTTTCGCTTTCTTTGCAGAGATATGTATCAAATACTCAGCCGAATTAGCGTTATTTTCAGAGCTCTGATTTAAAACACACATAGAGAATGAACGGAAGCGAAATTCAAAAAACCCTACGGACAAATTTTAGATTTAGGTGTCTATTTTTATTCAAGACCGCCCGCGGCTTTCTACTCTTTCTACCAACATAGGCTATACATTTTTCCTAAGACCCCCATTTTGCCCGTTGTCGGCCAATAACACGGCAACGCTTCAACATTTTGTGCCCAAATCTTTAGCATCGGTTACGAGCACAGCAAGTATTAATTCCTGTAAGCGCCGTCGAAATCGGATGTGAAATAAAAAAGTTTTTTTCGCTGGGGGGGGCCCCTTAAGAAAGGAGCGAAAGACATACGTTTCGTATGCGAACTGAAATCCACTATAATCTCCTAAAATCTTCCAAAGACTGACAATTTCTCTAGAAACCCCATAAAACATTCTCGCATACGTGTCTAAATGTCAGATCTGAATTGTGTGCGAAAAATAACTTATAAAAAGTGATTTTCATCGGTTTTCACCGACGTTAATAAAAAACAATTCTGTGAAAACTCTCTGCTTTTCTAGAAGCCTTTTCACCCAGATGCTTTGTACCGGCGTGAGACTCGTGATAATTAACTTATATCACGAGTGTGACTTGAAAAGTTCAATGATCCGTTTAAACACTTACTTTACAAATTAAAATAACCGATAAATGTGCTAAGTTTTGTTTCTTTAGCAACTGGACAACAACAATACCTGACTCCTAGTGCTTCGTCAACAACTGATCCGTCCGAACCTCCCCTTGGTCAGACTTATGGGGATCAGAACGACATTTTTTGCCTTTGATTAATCATGGTAAATATGCCCTGCGGTTTATCTTTAGATCTATGTTTGATATGTAAACATGATTGTTTACACATTCTCATTGTTTCATTTGATGATGAAAGTTAACATGGTGAGGAGAGAAGCAAATTATGCATCATGTCTTTCTGTACTCTACCAGACTTTGAGTTGCTCTTTTCTAACATTATAGAATCTAACGTATCGCGAAGGAAATAACTCTGCAAACTCACTAAATGGACATTTCTGCAAACTCTTTCAAAAAAACACCCTGTAATGTGAACGTAATAGACTATGTAGTACAGCATTCTTTACTTTCAGATTCTTCTGTTTCTCCTCACAGATCGATCCTTCTATGTGAGGGCGAATGTTCTTCTGTGAGAACGTTAAATTTGAAATCTCGATTAAACACGAATATCCGTGAGTAATTTAGCTTGATTATAATTTTCTAAAAAGTTTTTGCTTCATCTCTTTAGGTAAAAACTATATTGTCCCAAATACAATTGATTTTGTCTCATCTATGCATAGCGATATCGGTAAGTGCATTATTCTCCTATGTTGTTCCAAATGAAGCATCTGCATTCTATCCTTTCGCCTATTAAATCGCTTAAGTAAACGTTAGTGACTTCTTGCTTTTCAACTGCAGTTTTTAAATATGTCTGTTTGAGTTCCAAGTTGTCGAAGCAAAAAAAGAGAAGACAATATGTTAAAAGAGCTATAAGTGCTAAAAAGACAAAACACATAAACACAAAAGAACGAACTGTTTAGCAGGAAACTATTGAAAAAGTAACTGACACTCTATTTTGACACGCATAGTAGATTAAATATTTCGTTTGGTTGATTCCCATAAATATTAGTAGGTCACTGTCAGTGTTCACGGCAAAATTGAGAGGATTTCTGCCAATATCGAGTCAGTTTCATGTTGAGCCAACTGTTCCATTTTCATCGTAGTAGCTTCTGCTTCTTTGACAATGTTAACAGGTGTATCTCGCAAGAACAAGCAGCCGTTTTCATTTGTCGGAGTTCCACGAACTGTTAATGTTATCAAACTTGGTGATAAAGCCGTAAGGCAATGATACAAGTGAGACGGTAAAGCGTACGAGTAGTTGTACTTATCGTCGTTGTCCAGGTTGGAAGTTTGTATCTTTGTGGCCTGTGCCGTGCCAATATTTTCTTGTTCATACATTTGTCCAGTTTTCTTGAATCGGTAACATGGGTATGTTGATGCACTGTTATTCTTCATATCGTTTACAGCAACCGAATTAAACTGACGAAGATTGTCATCGTCAAACTCCACATGATAGATCTCGTGGGTGTAGCCACCTTTGAGCATCACTGCTGAAAAATGACACTTATGATTATGAATGTCTTCTTTGAATTCTCCACTCGTTTTCCGAGAATGAATTCGACACGTAAATCGTTTAGACGATAGCAAGACGATACGAGCCAATCCAAGTGGGTGCCGCTGACGTTCGTGTTCTTGCTCTTCCGTCATGACCACTCGAAGTAGATCTTTCAGATTTGCCGCTAACCATTGATTAACGATGTGTAGTGTTTCTAATTCGCCACATTGAGGTGTAGTGAATGATAGTAAATGATCAATTCTACCACATAGCTCAGATGATGTCCTTGTGTTTGGATTATTCCAAATACTATTTAGATGATCGTCACATACACGCACCCATTCACTTATATGTGTAAGATCGGTCAGTGGAGAAGTAATAGACAATGCTGAACAAATTTCGAGTCAATAGGCAAAAGAATATTTGTCATAACTACTGATGATGATAATAAATAAACTGAAAATAATGGTGCAAATCTTGTTTCTCTCAGCTTTATTTATACATCGACTCACGAACA